AATTTACATCAAGATCCTGGTAACTAGCATTGGACGTTAACCAGAGATGATATGTCTGATACGGTTCATGATGTGGTTAAATAAGCATGGAGAAATGGTGTTGTTTGACACAGGCTATCGTGTAAAAGTCTGTCTTGTGTCTCTAAATATTTTCAATAACTATTGAATATTTTTCAAAACTTTTAAAAATTTGCATATGTCCAATTCAAAGGTGCTTCCTCTGGAGACTGGGAGCCAGACAGAAAGCAACATTGCAATAATTCTTGTGAAGCAACAGTTAGGGCTTTCAGTCTGGGTGTCCGTCTGATTTTTCATTCCAGTTGCAATGTTGATCATTCTAATTGGGAATGATAAAATGCATAAAAATCACGATATTTTTCAAACGGAGAAATTTTAAGTTCTTGTCCCTTTTTCCTTTTAAATGGGATGTCTACACATTCCAGTTTGGGAAGTGGGGACACATGACCTGGACAATATTTTATTAAACAAAATAACTCTCAAATAATTATTTGGTATGGAGTAACCAGAAAGAAGTGTCACACTTTTCTATGGTACCTTCTGTTTGCACCACTCTCTAGGTACATATATTTTTTCATGTCCCTATTCATAGACTTTGTCCTGAGCTCAAAAGTAAAGGAAAATACATGGCAGAAAGCCATCAGTTCTTCCAATCCTTTTCATACTAAAGTAAAATAATATTTTGACTGAATTTATCCCTTCTGGATCTAGGTATCATTTACATGAGCTGTTTGCATTTTAGGGTGGTGTGAGTCAAGCATTGGGAAAGACCTCTATGCTGTCACAGGGCTGGCTGTCTTCCTAGATTCCAGTCTTCTTTTTTCTTATTAGCCATAGTTTCTTGTAAAGCAGGCAAACAGTTTTATATGTAAGGTGGTTTCTTAACTTTCTGAGCCAATTCAAGCAGAGTAAGGTCTTTAGCCCCTCTCAAGAGCCATTGCCTACTTTGACTTCTATTAAAATTATTACTAGATGGAAATAGATGGATCTGCATGCTAAAGTGTCTTTATTTAAAAAGGAGGGGGAAAAACAGTTTTTAAGGCACAGGATTCTTTTACTGTATCTCTAATTTAAATTAGGATAGACATAAAGGTTTAGAGGCTTAATAAACCCAATTTAATGTAGGTTAGCAGCCTTCTGCTCTAGCAGCAAAACCTCTAGAGTTGGGTGTGAGGAGTGGGGGTGGGGACAGGCAGAAGAAACAGAGATGTTAGCAGTTCTCCCTAGAGCCAGCTCTACCAGCTTTATTCCTGAGAAGTAAGATTCCTTACTCTATCAACCAAAATGCAGTTTTGGTCCCACCTCTTCTCAGATCTGGTGCTGTGAGACTGAATCTTGTTTCTTAGTTTTAAATGATTATACACTCTGTGAATTTATTAGTCGACAAACTTACCTGTGCACGTCACTGTTGGTGAATCAGTGCACCTGGTATGGAGACTAAAATGTTTTCATCCTGCTGCATACGGCCTTTATGTGTGCTGTTATAAAATGCAGCAGAACTTTAGATACTATAGCACTTCATCTGGCCTCATATACTTCTGTCAATACAAGAAGGGTACAGGAGTGACTATAGCAGCTTGATAAATACTGTTTTTAATAGCAACCTAAGTACACTTTTCTGATCCTCAATAAACGACGTGCATAAAAATTGATCCTTTCAACTTACACAGTATTCTGACCATTATTCACCCAGACGAGACCTACTCTAAATAACATATAAATACAGTTTTGGAGTCAGTTTCAGTTTTTCTAGCAGCCCAGGAAGAGCTGAATTTTGTGCCCTCAGGGCTGAGGGAAGGGCACAAAAGCAAGAGTTTTCTGAGGAAGAAGGAGTGTAGGTTGCTCCTGCCCTGGAGAGGGGAAGGAAGGGTGGAGCTGGGCTGGAGGGCTGGAGGAGGGCCATGGGAGGTAGCTTCTGAGTTTTTGCCAGCTGAACGTGGAAGTAAGTTTTACAGTTTTGCTATGAGGGAAAGAAGAAGCTGGGCTGCAGCTACACTGCTTGGTCCTAAGGGTGTGTCGTTTTAAATGACTGCTTTTTGCCCTTCCTATGGGACACAGGGCATAAGTAAGGCAAGTGTGCAGCATAAGCAACGTCATTTTTTATACTTGTGTATATGATCAACATTATATAATCTGTACCCCAAGACCACGAGTAGCACCTTGTCTCTTCACGCTAGATTCAAAGACACTCTGGTTTACCCAGCAACATTATCTTTAGTTTATTGTTTATATGTATGCTTTAAAACCAAGCCTTCCCTAGAGTTTTCTACGAAAGTGTGTTTTTTGGGGAAAAAAAAAATCTATTTTGACCACACCAAAAATACTTTATTTGATAAAACATTAATTTCTGCTCTTTGTTCCCTCACTGTTTCTATTAGCAAACAGAATATTCCTCACACCAAAGTTGTTATGAAGCAACCTATTCATTATTTTTGGGTGCTCAATGTCAAACCACATCACCGTTAGTCTTTTTTCCCCTTCTGCATGGTATCTTATGGAAAAGCTGGACTGATTTTCATTTTGAGTGGTAAAAAGCAAAAAATTACTTTTTTTCCCTTCTTAAATGGATAATGCTCTATTCTTTTGTAGAAATTGGAGGGAATATGTAAGAAATAAGAAACAGCATAGGTGAAACTGTCTGATTTTACTCATCTTCCTTAGGAAGGGGCTGGTCAAAGAAATTACATGAAAATATATTTAACAAGGTAATCTCTTTTGTCTTAAGATAACACACAAGAGCTCCAGCCTCAGGAAATGATCAGACAAGAATACTTGTTTACCACTGAATTTGAACAGAATCAAACATTTAGTGAACTAAATGGGCATAGCTGATACCTTAACGAATGGGGAAAGACAGACTTTAGATTGTTTGTGGTAACTTTCCTTTGTAAGTCAATGCTAATGCTTAGGTATTGCCGTAGTAAATAAGCAAACAGTCCAACTAGTTTACAGTTCTATTTCTAATCTAAAACTTCTCCAAGTAGCTAAGGATGTAGGGGTGAGCAAGCAATTGTGGAGCATGGCATCACCTGCCAAACATAACAAAAGTTACCTGCTTCCAATAGCACAGGCCAATTACTGCTTGAGAAAATAACCCCTGCATATCATAGTTCAAGAGAAAGGATTTTGAGAGTGGGAAACTGAATTGCACTGGTGCTGAAAATGATGAAAAATGATTTGTAACTTGATGAAAAATGGTTTGTAACTTGATGCATCTCTTCCCAGAAACTCTGTCAACATGGCTATGGTATCAGAATTTCTGAAACAGGCA